GGTTTGAGGACGCAGCTGTTAAATGGCCCTCCAAATGAGTCACCTTTTGTTCGTCATATGAACAGTTACTTAAGCTATGATAAAGTCACTATTGATAAGCTGGATGTGCTTAAACAGTTTAGGAAAGTTAACAAAAGGAAAGCTTGTGGTCTTGATGGCATTTGTGCTAAGATTATCCATGAGTGTGCTAACCAACTTGTTATCCCCTTTAGTTATTTGTTTCAATTATCTATGGACTTGCATTTAATTCCTAAGTGTTGGAAGTCATCCGTTATTGTACCTGTCGCTAAGAAGGCTCGTCCCTCTGAGTTAAATGACTTTCGCCCAGTTGCGCTTACCTCCATCATTATGAAGTGCTTTGAGCGTATTGTATGTAATTATTTATTATGTTCTCTATCTCCTATTATTGATCCACTGCAGTTTGCTTATCAGCCACTTAAATGTGCTGAGGATGCCTTTCTAACTTTAGTCATGGAGGAATTTAGTTAACTTGGTTCAAAAACATACTGATAAACTAAATTGTTATGCTAGAGCTACTTTTGTTGATTTTTCATCTGCTTTTAACACGATGCAGCCATATATTTTAATTGAGAAACTCCATAATCTTGAGGTTAATCCATGTTTAATTTCCTGGATCAGTAACTTTTTATATTTAAGAGAACAACGTGTAAAGGTGTCTGTCTTTCTGATGTTATTACTACTAATGTTGGTTTCCCCCAGGGATGTTGCTTATCCCCATTATTATATGTGTTATACACTAATGATTGTGTTTCTCGTACACCAAATACGTATCTACTTAAATACGCTGATGATACCGTAATTGTTGGTCTTGTGCATGGTGACAATGAGAATCCCTATCGGGAAACAATTGAAGGTTTTGTCAATTGGTGTGATACTAATCAATTAACTGTAAATGGCAAGAAAACTAAAGAAGTAATTTTTGACTTCAGGAAATCTGTAAACAGGGTACCTGTTCCAGTAAAAATACATGATGATGAAATTGAAATAGTTACTAGTTATATGTACCTTGGCATGATAAGCTTAATTGGGGCGAGCATTGTAAAGGACTTTTTTTCCAAAGGACTCACTCGACTTTAGAAAACTTAATCATTTTCATGTTGATCTAACGATTTTGAAGCTTTTTTATTCATCAGTTGTTCAAAGTGCAATTCTTTTCTGTTCCGTTGTTTTTTTTAGTAGTTTAATGAAATCCGATTTAGGCAAATTTCAAGCATTAACAAACAAGTCTTGTCGTATAATTAAGGAAAGCATTTCGATTGATAAGGTTTGTGTTGCAATTATCCTAGATAAGACAAATAATATTATGACCAATAACAATCACCCTCTATACCATGAGTATAATTGGTTAAAATCTGGCAAGCGTCTACGCAGCACTCAATGTAGAACCAACCGATATTTGAATTCGTTCATTCCATTCTCCATCAGATTACATAACAATAACGGCTAGATATAATCTCTCTATACTCATTACCAGGTCTTATCTCTGTATATTTTTACTTTATACTGTTTTGTATATTTTTTTCTATTCTTAGTTTTTATTTCTTTTTATTTTTGTATTTCATTGTATTGCGATTGTTGCCTTAAATGAGTTTCCGCAAGGACCAAATAAATCTGAATCTGATA